AAGTATGCTTGCCCCAAGACGATTTTACGTATTGCTGTTGTCTTCATTCCCATTCATTGATATATATAGATGGCCTGCAAAGCGTGTAAAGCGGGCAACTTGTTTATTCCTCAAAGGGTTTGGAAATATAAACACATGTTAGCATTGCGCTTGGACACGTTAGAAGGCTATGTGCATTAATTCACCAGAATAATGTTTGTTGGATATTTCAGGGTGCATGGCGGTATCACAGATTGAGCGAGATTTGGAGTTCCGTCGATTTTACATTACTGAAAAGGGAAAAATATTGGATTTTTAACCCACTGGCTTCGTTCGCGAATATCTAAAATAATGAAGTTGTTTGTACGCGTCTGCAGTCACAGAAGAAGTAACAATGAAGTAGAATGGCGGGAAGTTTAAAATGGCTGAAAGTATAGTCTATGGAAGTATAGTGTACAGTCTCCATAGTGTAGTCAATTGGATTTGATGTTGACGTAGCTGTCGGTAATACAGTGTGATAATACAGTGTGATGGTACTATAGTACTTAGGTTTGAGCTTCATTGCTGGAACGCTAGATGGCGTTAAAGTAGTCAAATAGCCAAATGCAGAGGTATTATTGGCTTAACTATTTCTTTATTTTATTTAAAAAATAATTTTTTATTAAATAAAAGTAGCCTATAACCATTCGGGGACCACTAAGAATATGTGCACAAATTTTCATGATGATCGGTTAAGTAGTTTTTGCGTGAAAGTGTAACAAACATCAGGACTTTCGCATTTATAATATTAGTAGGGATGTGAGGTTATGTTTTTAATTAGATTTTGAAATGTTGTGAATGCACGTATGCACCTCGATCATTAACACATTCGAGTGCGCACGCGTGGGCTGCCTGCCGAAAAACGAAATTGATTGCAGAACGCGTTCGAACGTAAATGCTAGATTCCTCGTTCGGTGGGTTTTGTGGATGTTTGACTGTTTGTACGCTGAATGCACGCGTGAATGCTGTCGAATGCGAAATGAATCGAACCACCCGCGGCGTTCCAGCCGCCTCTTCCTCTTCCTCTACATACTCGCGTGGAGAGGAGATGGATGTTGGCGGTGAGCGGTGCCGCCGAGGTTCGCTTTAAATCAGGACTCTCATTACTCACGAACATTAGCGCAATATTCGATTCCGGGCGTTTCAAACATTCCCCCGAACTATTACAATATTGCAAAATATTCGAATCAAAAATTTACGCTTTCCAAAAAGTTGGAAATTATTTTGTCCAAAGTTAAATTTACTTCTTTTTTCGCTTTTCTTTTTTCTCGCTTTCTGTTTGGAAGTTCTTGCGGTAGCATCGTAAATCAGCGTCCGGTCGATAAGTCTCCTACTCCACCCTAGGTTGAACCCAGTGGCACCTCAGTGCAACCAACTGACTAGTCATTAAACGCAGATACCCAAAGACTCAAAGTCAACTGGAACTTACAACGCGGAATTCTCTTTACTTCATTCTCTCTCAGTTGTGATTTAATCAAATTGCAGACATCTGCAACATCCTCTAGAGATAATACAGTGAATGCATTTTGTAAGACCTCTAATGTGACATTTTCGTTGGGAAGTTGAAGATTGTAAGTGGCTGGTTGAGAGATTACGAAAATGAAATTTGTCACACCTGCTCATGGCAGCCGCGAGGCCCATGTAGAACAAACTTCTGTCGCTCACTTTCGCGGAGTCTTCGTGACGTCTCTCGCGTGACTTGGCGATTATAGGCGGGAAGGGTTTCTCCAATTGGGCGATGTCTGCGGGCAAAGCGTATTGAAACTGGAAATTCATACCTAACGCCATCGATTGTCGAATGCCCAATTTGGTTGGAATACCAAGCCCGACAATCAGCTACAATACAACACATGCTTTTGTAATTAGCATTATGACCTCGAATGGAATCCAAATTGATAAATACCTTGAAAGTACCCCCACCCACAGGATATATCAAATGACGTTTTGTTCTATTTTTACCACTAGACGTAGAATTTTTAACAAAAAACACTAAAAGACACAGAATTACAAAAAAAATTGAATTTTTAGACATTTTATTAAACAGAACAACTTCTGTGAAGAACCAAAGATAACTAGTTGGGTTTTTGACTTGTTGAACTCAGTAGACCTGTGAAATGTTTACTTTTTACTTAGTGTAATTAGCAGATGTGACAGTTAGGTATATTTACGTAATATGAACATTCTGTAGTTATATTCTGACGGTTTTATGAGCATTTTATTGCCTGTTTGTGTGTAGCAATAAAATTCAAATGTGGTTGAACATCGAACAAGAAGCGAACACGATCGCGACACGAATCGGCTCACACCCGGCGCGCGCGCGCCAACATTTCACAACCGAATGGAATTATCAATTAGGCGTTTAATAATACCGGCACTTTGCCGACACGCCGACGCATTATGATTTCAATTGCTTGTCACGTTCAGCAAAACAATTCCGCGCTCGCATTCATCGTCATAATTACAGAATTACACTCGTAAATATCACAATTAAGTAATTGTAGAAATTACGATCGTAATTGATGGAATTAGACGCAGATGTAGAATAAATTTTTTTCACGATAAATTTATAGAATTTGCGTAGATAAGACTTTTCAAAATCTTCTTCAGAGGTTTTTTTTGCTAACATCTTTAAGGCGATCAATTTGATTTGAGCTACGGCTTCGTTTTGCTGACACTTTTGCTCCTGATTGCTCCACGTGTGCCCCCATTTGCACACGCACTTGAAACCGCCGAGCGTGTTCAGACAGGCTTCGCCACGATGCACGTCGCACTTGTGTTCACCTCGCAGACATTCGTCGACGTCCACACAAATGCCATAACTGGAATCCCACACGTAGCCGACCTGCGGACACGTGCAGCTCACATTCCAATGGTTTAATATCCCCGAAGTAAAGTCCAGGTTCTCACTTCGATTCATAACGCATTGTCTTTGTTCTGCGGGAGATGCAGAATAGCAAGGATTGGATTTCGGCATCTCCCAACAACTGCGTAAATTATCAACGTGTTTCTCATAACAGCAGACATCCGGACAAAAACTATACAAGGCACAAGAGAAAGGTTCATCGTCATTTGCTCGTGGGTCATGATTCCGAGGTTGTTTTGATTCCCCTAAACAATTGGAGAAATTATCACAGTTTTCTGAGATGTGTCTAAGGTGTTCCACTTCGTTCATTGTATACCAACACATGAAATACGCAGCAGTGGTCCGCCATTGAAACCGTTCAAGTGGTCCTTGGAAGGGATCAGCTAAGATGTCATCGCGCCGCTTCAGCTTTTGGCATTCTGCCTCGACCATATCAATACGATCACGATCTACGTCCATCCGCCATCGTTGCTCTTGAATCACAACGGACGTGTCGTCTCCTCGACGCAGGTCTGCTCCTTGCGCACGCTTCCAAAGGTACTTGACGCATGCAAGGAAAGATTCATCGCAAAACTTATGCACCTCCCAGTGTAGACTCCGAAGTGCGGGTCGGGGATATTCACGGTGGTAGGTGCGGGGTGCTAATGTGCCGTTCGACTCATATCTACGATCGTACTCGTTGAACTTGTGTGCGCGCAGATAGTATGCGATGTCTTTTATGGCTTCCTCTATCCATTCCTGCCCACCCACATCTCCTCCATCTCCTTGTGTGTTGGTTTTATTCATCGCATCTGCATTCGTGATGCTGGTAGTTGTCATATTCGTCACTTCCGGTTTGGTATCGCGAAGAATCCGCGCGTCCTGCACGGGTAGATCATCGCGTATTTGGACCTTTTCGGGAGTGGCACCCAAAAGGAAAATATCGTCGTTATAGTCGTCGTTATACTGGTCGTTAGACGTCCCTTTTGAGGGTGCAAGCACAAACACCTCCAGCAATAGTACTAGTATCAATGGGATCAATGGCTTGCTCATTTTGTGGCTTCTGAACTTTTTGGACCAACTTGGGTAATATCGTAATTGGTTGTCAGTGCCAGTGTCAGTGTAGTTGTCATTGTCAGCAATTGTGTTTGCATATTGGGGGAACTTCTACTGGGGAGACCACAAGATGGAAGCAGACTGCAATTTAGTCTAAAGAGGGAAGAGCTTTGGTTCGTTATGACCACTGAGGCGATGGCAACATTTGTTGCGCCTTATCTAACAGCGCCATCTGCACTTGTACTAATCTTTGACGACGCGAACGGTTAATCGACCATCGTTGCCAATGCCCCTCAACCATCCCAAAACCCTCCTGCATTCAGAGGTCGTTATCGTAACGACGAAACGATTCCAAACTAAAGACGCCATATGTAAAACGAGAAGGCTTCGATTTTCGTGGGAGTAACTCAAGTCTGCGATTGAATTGAATTTAGAAAAATGCAAAGTTGGGTAGTGGGTATCTGGTATCAAGTATCTGGTAACAATAGTAACAGTCTAAGGGGCATTGTGGAATGGATGTTTATAGTCGTGTTTGATGGTCTTTTTCAAACTTGAATACTAACCTAGTAGTAAAATACAGTGTGCTGGAAAGTCGCCAGCAGTTGATTGCGGGCGTTGTTCAGGGATGCACAGCAACGCAAAGAGATAAAGAATTAGCTCTGTATCCACCCTCTCCACTTCTCTCTCTGCTGGCTGCAAAACCGCAACGCTCCAGGTAACGGGAGCTAACTGCCACTAAAGTGTCTCATCTACAATTCCCTCTGATAAATCGAGTCGCAATAAATCCGCCCTTTTGATTCGAATCTATCGACCGCCACACTCGAATACCCGCACTCTAATGAAGTATTTGCATGCATCGGCGATTTTTTTCGTTTTAACTTTTAAACCTGAGTCAATGAGTCTGTAGTTGAGGCTGGGAGAGAAAAATAAGAAGGTGGTTGGGAGAAGCGAAGTTAATGCGCTGGGCGCGTTGGGCGACGCGAACGGTTGCGACGTTTTAATGAATACCCGCCCGATGGCCGCCTGGGACACGGACACGGGGAGCACACAACTTGCCCTCCGGCAACTTTGTCTCGCGACAGGTTACATTACCGACGTTCTTCTCACACCGCAGAGACTTTTATCGATATCCCATTCACTTTGCGTCAACTCCGTTAAATTAGATCAGATGCATTCAGACTTCAAACAGACCTGCTCTACGTAAACAGGGTTTAGGAGACGCGGGGACTTTGAGTTGATTACCTTAGACACATTTCGAGAAAACGATGCACTCACTTTGATCTGCCAAAGATTGCATTTCGAGTGATTTGGCTTTGAGCAACTACATCAATACAAACTATATACAACTACATAAGAGGGGGAATCTAGTCAAACCAGTCTCGCACTCCCATCTACTTTCTAAAAGTAGAAACTGTAGTAGCTGTGTCCTCAACGAACACCAACTTCGATAACTCAAGCATAGATGGCGAATTTGTTTGGTATAAAGCTTTCTATATAAAAATCAATACTAAAACTTAGACAAAAGGTGGCGTAACTAATATAAAATCAAGTAGTTTTAGTTACCATGGAAACAAGTTGTTACAAATCAATATTCTCCCATTATTTTACACATTTTTACTCTTGAATAAACCTGAATTAAAATGCAGTGCGCTGATTCCGAGGATTATCTCAAAACATCGACGTATTATCAAACTTGTGAGCTCCCCAAGCGTTTTGAATATCCTTCATGGTTTCATGGCTACGGAGCTCATCGGAAACCACCCCTTCACCCTTTTTACCGCACTACGTCTAGCGATTATGGACGGTGAGTCATCCCTACACTAAATTCGTTTCTGAATGCTTTGAATTAATTATTTTTGTTTCGGGCAGTAACCCTCCGACTGTTCATACAGCACCAACGTGTTTCTACCCGAAGAATCAAGAATTCTCTTCATTCTTAGCCAAAACTGGAATGTACCGTAACTATTCACTAAATACCGGATTAGATCCACAAATTGTCTAATCATCTTTTTTGAAATATGACTGATAACACTCGTGATAATAAAATTCAAGTTCATTACAACGTGTTTTTTTCCGTCATTATCAAGATAAGATAATGTTTGAACTAAATACATTTAAAATGTAATAATTACGCCAATTCGCAGCCGGATTTAACTGGAAACTCAAATTTGCAACTCTGCAAAGTTATAATCGAAGTTTAGCGTAAGCCACATTGCAAATAAATGCAATTATCGAATCATTCCCGCACGTGACCTGAATGTTTTGTAATAATTAGACTGATAACATTCCAACACATTCTGCGTGCCTTTGTGCGCGTCGCGCATGTTTTGAGCGTGTCGCTATATTTAATGAGCAAGTTAAGTGACCACAATAACAAAAACACCAAAAGTGAGATGACTATTTTCATCTCAAGTACAATTCTCAGCAGCTCAATGCTGCTTACTCGTGTTTGTCGCCTTGAAAGTGACATGAAACAATCGCTACTGGCTGATTTATCAATGAACATCGGAATGTGTACAAATCACAATGGACTCACAATCTGATAAGCTTCCATCTCCAATACCAACTTGAATTCCAACTCAGATTAATTAATCATTGTGTGTTCAGATGTCTCAGTGAATCACGTCGTGAAAAAATGTGCTAAAATGGGTGATATTCAAGAAAAAGAAAAACTTCAGATTCTCAATGAAGAACAGAGTGATGTGGTTGACCTGGACGCGTTGTTAGTGCATTTGGGACAATTCGGAAAGTTTCAAAAACGTAATTTTTTCCTCATATCACTCATTGTTATCTATGCTGCATTCCCTTTTGGATATGTGTTCACCACGAGGAAATCAGAGTATAGATGTTTTATTGATGGATGTGATGATATCGAATCCCCTGTATATGAAACTTCATGGATGACTGCCGCTATACCTAATAGTACTATTGATCCAACTAAACCGGAACATTGTCATCGTTATCCATTGGACCAAAATGTTTATGGATGTAATAGAGAGGCTTTTGTACAAACCGAGAAGATCCCATGTGAGAATTTTGTTTTTTTGAATGCTGATGCCACAATTGAGAAAGATGTAAGTGCTGATTCTGATACTAAGTTTTGAATTAGTTTAATTAAGACCAATTAATTCGGCTGGAATTGCAGTTCAACGTCACGTGCGATGAGAATATACTTAAGTTAACAATGGTGGGAACTTTGGATAATCTCGGGGAGTTGTTTTTTCTGCCTTTATCTGGATTCATATCAGATAGGTACCAAAATTTTCCAAAACCTCCAAAAACTTTTTTTAAATATTAAATAATAAAATTTTAGATTTGGTAGAAGAACAACTATGATCCTCGGAGTCCTCGCTGGTACCTTCTGTGCCTTATTCAAATCCTTCGCTGTTTCCTACACCATGTTCCTCATGTTTGAAATTTTTGAAACCTTTCTAAGTTGTGGAGTATACAGCGCCGCCTATATCCTAGCTGTGGAGTTAGTTCCTCCTGAAAAACGTGTCCTGGCTAGCACTGTAATATCCTGTGCCTTTGCAACGGGGGAAGCCATCTTGGGTCTGGTGGCATGGCTTACCGGATCATGGCGTACCATGTTACAAATCCTCTATGTCCCTGGAGTGTTTTTCATCTTCTACTTTTGGATAGTTAATGAATCAGTCAGATGGAACTTATCCAGAGGTGATACCAAAGCAGCAAAACGTACCTTGTTACATGTAGCAAGTGTAAACCGTACCACCATACCGGAAGACACTATCAGAAGACTAGGGATTCAAAAAAGTGATGATAACAAAAGAGGGAATCATTCTGGACTGTTTTACTTCTACGAAATTAAGTATAAGATTGCTGGTGTGTTCATTGGTATGGATATGCTGCGTGTTTGTTTACTATGGATTCACGTTACACGCAGTTGCCATTTCCGGAAATCTGTACTTCAACTTTATCGCGGTGACCTTCATCGAAATCCCAGCGTATTTCGTCTCGTATTTTACGCTGGATGTGTTTGGACGTAAAAAATCTCTCTGTTCTTCGTTAATTTTGGGAGGTCTGGCTAGTTTTGCTTTTATATTCGTACCAGAAGGTTAGTATAAAAAACTAAATTTAGTAAATTTACCAAAAAAGTAATTTGATTATTTTTAGCAAGCACAACCTTGAGACTGTTACTATTCCTGGTTGGAAAGTTCAGCGCGACAGTGGCATTCACAGCTTTATACATGTTTACAACCGAATTGTTTCCCACCTCTGTAAGACATCAATTACTATCCACATGCTCGACTTTCGGACGAATTGGATCCATGATTGCACCGCAAATACCTCTATTGGTATGTTCATTAACCACAAATACAAAAACAAACTTATAAAACTTGCTAGACATTTATTACAACTATGTTTGTTTGTTATTTGTTATTTTCAGGCTCAAATACTACCATCACTGCCAATGATACTATTCGGAGTCATGGCGACTATAGCCGGAATACTTTCGCTGACATTCCCGGAAACGTTGAATACCCGTCTGCCGGATACAATTCACGAGGCTGAAAACATCCAACTTCAAACAGAATACGCTTAATTTTTGTATTATCTTTCACTAATTGAACGGTTGTTTCCATGATGTAAATATTGTATCATGACGATGAGTGTAAATTAGTTTTAATTAACACCAATGTTAAATGTTAATGTTAATGCCAGCTTTTTTCAAGTTTAACGAACCACGCTGTTTTATTAATAACTGCCATCTGGGCGGGATTCATCTGCGCCTGCCAAAAAAATTTTTTCTCTCGCCAAGGAAAAGTCGCTTCAGTCGCAATCCGCTCGTAAACTAATCAGTATTTGTACACTGCTTATCGTAACACGCTCTTGAATTTTATAATTACAATTTAAATAAAGAGTAATCGCACAAATTGTGGGTTCATTCTGTGTTTGGTGCTTTGGTGTCTAACATTCCTACAATTTTACTAAATAAAAAAAAACGTGACAGTTGAACTGTTAAAACGGTTAAACAATGATTTAAACACGTGTCAGTATAAATTTTCATTGTTTTTGCGCTTGTAATAAACAGTTAAATAGTTTATATAAAGGAAGTGATTTGAATAGTTTCACTTTGTGTTGGTCAACATGACTGTCGAAACCTACGATATAAATGAGCTTTTGCCCAAGTTGAGTAGTTTTGGAAAATATCAGAAAAGAAATTTTTTCTTGATTTCCCTGGCGATTGTTTATTCCGCTGTTCAGTATAGTTATGTCTTCAGTACAAGAAGTACAAAACATCGGTAAGTGCCTCATCATCAATTAAACATAAATTAAATTTAAAAAAATTAAATTTTAAAAATTTCAGGTGTTATATTGAAGAATGTGATGATGATCTTCAGGTCCCTTTAGCCTATAATCAATCATGGCTGAAATATGCCATACCAGGTGATGGATCTACCTTTAAAAAGTGTCAGAGATATGCCCCTGTAGATAATGATCATTCCTGTGGACCCAGGTCCTTTAATACTTCTGATATTCAAAAGTGTGATAGACTGGTAACTGATGGTAGTGACCTGACCACAATTGAACATGAGGTAATACCTTTTTCATCACTTTTTTGGGTTTTATTAATTCTGATGGTATTCCAGTTTAAATTAACCTGTGAAGATAACTTATGGAAGCTGACAGCTTTGGGTTCCTTGGATGAAATTGCAGAAGTATTATTTGCTCCTTTTGTTGGATACTTTTCTGATCGCCTGGGTCGTAAATGGGTCCTGATCTATTCCCTAGTATTAAGTGGGATCTGTGGTGTGGTCAAATCCCTTTCACCTTCTTATGTGGTCTTTGCTATAATGGAGTTTGTCACTGCGTGTTTCACAAGTGGGATCTATGGATCTGGGTTTATCCTTGGTGTGGAACTCCTGGCTGCTGAACAAAGAGTGTTTGGAAGTACCTTGATTGCTATAGTCTTTCCATTTGGGGAGATTCTACTAGGTCTAGGTGCTTGGTTTTCACCTTCTTGGAGAGTGATGTTGAGTGTACTCTATGCCCCAGGGGTTCTCTTCCTCTGTTACTTCTGGTTGATGGATGACTCCTTAAGATTCCTCCTGGCCAATGGGAAGAATAAAAGGGCACGTAGGTTGATCAAACGTATAGCCCGTGTAAATAAACTCAAAATCTCAGCGGATATCAAATTGGACAACACTGCACCTCCAACTAATAATACAGGTATTGAGGTGGTACCCAAAGAAGAGGAGGATGATGATACCCAACGTGAGACCTTCTTCCAAGTATGTCAGTATCCATCCTTGGTCTTGAGGGTACTCAATTGTTCATTCAGTTGGATCAGTTGCACCTTTATCTATTATGGTCTTACTGTTTACTCTGTATCACTTACTGGGAACATCTACTTGAACTTTATCATCATGGCCGTTATAGAACTACCTGGTTATGTGGTGTGTTACTATATGCTGGACTCTGTTGGAAGGAGGTTTACTTTGGTGGGATCTTTGATTGTCAGTGGAGTTGCTTGTTTATCCTGTGCTTTTATTCCTCAAGGTAGGTCTTGGAATACCTTCAAAATCACTTTTATAAATTGGTTTATTTTTATTAGAATATTGGATTGTCCAGTTGATACTTCCAATCATCGGAAAACTGGCTGCAACCATGGCATTCAAGACTATCTATATTTATACTGCAGAGATGTTCCCTACAACTCTGAGGCATACCTTCTTAGCATTCTGTTCTATGTTTGGAAGAGCAGGTTCTATAGCAGCACCTCAATTGCCTTTACTAGCAACTGTCTCACCACTTCTACCTCCATTACTTTTTGGGATTTTGGGATTGATTGCTGGTATGTTGGCTTTCTTCTTTCCGGAAACAGCAGGGTGTAAACTACCGGATAACATGGCGGAATCTCTAAATATAGGTAAAATAGACGACATCGAAATGAATAAAAAAATGTAATTCCATTGTTCATCATGATAATTTATTAAAATATATTATTTTACTAATAAAAACTCAATTTTAAATAAATTTACATCTTACGTCCTCTGATGTTGAGTTATGAAAGTAAAAGTATTGATTTTTCAAGACTATTCTACAGTTTCTCTTCAAAAGTAAAACCTTTAGATATTGAGCAATAGGTGGCGTTGGCAGTACTAAAATGTGAATAAAACCGCTCGTAAACAAATGAAATTGCTCCAGCGCCATTTTACGGAACTTTCGCAATGAATTAATTTGAAATGGTAATGCACTCTCGTTCCGCGCAATTACCGCCGCTGCGACGTGGGCAATTATTCACGATTTAAGTGAGTTAAACGCGCATTTTTCCAACGGTTGCAAACAAATTCCAACCTTAAATTACCACTTAATGCTCCGCTGGTAAATCTTCACCGCTCGCGAAGATAGAAAACTTTAGCACACGAATGTATCTTCGCTTTTTTTATTGCCCTAGATTTATTCGAAATCTTTTTTTTGTTTTGTTTGATTGAGTTGCGTCGTGGAATGAAACGAAGCGCAACGAAATAAAATCGAATTAATATGAACGATGATAATATTTTTCAAGGATCGAAACTCGGTGGAGAGTTTTTTTTCTCGTTGGCCATTAATCTTCTCCGGAACAATGGCTCGCAACCGGATTATTATCCTGCGCGTTTCCAACGTTTTGCACCTATATAGAAAATTATTTCACATTTTAAAAATTAAGTTTTTACGACATTTTTACGACACAAAAAATATAAATATAAATTATTACAAATGTATAATGTGATACATGAGCAGGATAATTATCTGCTTAATACGACATTACAACGTATGTGTCTGGCTTGGACCCGACCTTGATTAATCAAATTAAGCAGACTAGTTCGGATTTACTCGCAATTTACATTCGACCATTCGAACTCTCATTCACACATACACACGCGCAGAGTGTGTGGCGTGGCATATTCAGCGATTAAATGCGCATTTCGAAACCGTAATTAAATTGATGCGCGGTGCGGAAATCAAACACAATGTGTTTAAAGACTCACGGAATAAAAGCCATTGACTCTAACAATCATAACATAAATAATAAACTAAAAATAAAATAATGTCATAATATTTTGACTTCTTTGATGAAAATATACAGGATAATAAAAAACTCAAAAAATAAAACTAATTTTATTAAATTATATATAATAGTGCTGTAATAGTATTTTTTATCTCTTTAATTATGTCAAGCAAATGTTGATATAAAATTATACAGAGTGTTTCATAATTTAATTTAAATTTTTAATGTTTCCAATGTTAATTTGCGTTGTTTCACAATATGTAACAATAGAAAAATTAGCATACTGTCGATTTTAAGCCGCCGGCTGGAATATATTACTGTCGAAATTCCTCACACGTGTATGACTTGTACACACTGCGTGTAAGAATACACTACTCAACAAAACAAAAAAAAAAGGTAAAATCAACACAATTCGTACACGATAACTATCGTTGTGGTTACAAATTGTTACATTTCGCAGTAGCGATAAAATTTGATGACGAATCGTAAAACTCCTAATCTCTATTTAATGTCTGCGTGTTATTTACAAAATTAGCTTTTGTACGCAAGCAAAATTTCCGTTGTTAAAAAAATTAATTTTACATTTTCTGTAACACTCAGTAGATCCAAGTGAAAAACCGGACCGACAATAAATACGAACGCGACCCGTCTATATTTAAACGGCCACGCGGGAGGGTTATCGCGATAAATGTTGTACTTGCTTGTACAGCATGTACACCAGCGTAGATTATGCATGCACATATTCGTGCATACAGGGGTAGTGGTAAAGTGGAAGCAGATAATAGCACACCGAGTGAAATTCAAGCCTCGACCGCGGGCTATATATAGTCACTTATCAGTTCAACACGCTTTTTTTAAACTGCATTCATTAATAATCACGAAAATTTCATGGTTTACTGCAGTATGAACACACTGTATATTCTGTGTGCCCAAAGTCGGCATAAAAATATTGTTTCCAGCAATGCTACAACGCCGCGACGTACGTCAGGTCGTCAGGCTTTAGTTATACTTTAGTTGCCAGTCAATTGTCGAGTGCGTACGACTACGGATCGTTTTTTTATACTGTCTACACAACAGTAATTGTTTAAACTATAAACTAAACAATTTTTGAAAAAATTTATTTAAATTTTATTTAAGTTTGCTTGTTTTACTTGGTTTTTGTTTGAGTGTGGGTGTGTGTTGATTACTTTTTGCTAATTTTTTTGGAAAGTGTGAAATTGTGACGTCACTTGACATCAACATCTTTCTGTTTGTTCTTTGTTGCTATATAAATTCGCGCGCGATTAAACATCATCACCACGTGTAGGCATCGCGCGAGGAAAATTTCGCATCACATTCAAAACCTGACCTGACCACGCAAGGTAAAGTTGTTGCTTGTTTCGCAAAATGGATTTAGACAAAATCTTATTAGACATTGGAGGTCTCGGCAAGTATCAGATAAAGCGGTACGCTCTTCTGTGCTTGGTACTAATTTTCGCCACCTTTCCAACACTCAGCTACGTTTTTACAGCTAGGGATGTCGATTATCGGTAAGTTTAAAATAAAAAATAAAAAAATTTTTTTTTAATTTTTCCAAAAAAAATTTGGAAAATTTTTAGATGTCATATTGATGGCTGTGATTTGCCAAATACAATACCAAATTACAATGCTTCCTGGGTGCAGTATTCTGTACCATACAAAAATGGCCTGCCTAGTAAGTGCCAAAGGTATCAACGCACGGATACCCGCTGTAATGGTTGGGCCTTCAACCGGAACCAAACTGTCGGATGTGATCGATTTGTTTATCGTAACAAAGATGATTCTACAATAGCCACAGATGTATGTCTAATCAATTTTTTCTAAAAATTTTCAAAAATTTTTAAAAATTTTTTTTCTAAAATTTTAGTTCAATATAGTTTGTGAGGAGAACCTATGGAAGTTAACCATAGTTGGTTCGATAAACAACATTGGTTTTCTACTCGGCCTGCCATTATCAGGTTTTATTTCCGATAGGTATGTAAATGTTGTTAGCGTGTTCAAGTACAGGAATATATTAGCACTTATAAATTGCATCATTTTTGGCGGCTGTATAAATTTAATCTCTTGATCAAATATTTGCACGATCAATATTTGGTTCGGTGTAGGTAATTACAAAACAAGATTCCCTCATCTTGGAAACTTACAATTCTTGACACATGGCGCCCCTGGTAATCTATATTTAGATAAGTAACTTATTTGTTTTTTACGTTTTTAGATACGGTCGGAAAACGCTAATGTTGTTTGCGATATTGTTTAGCACGATAATGGGTATAACAAAATCGCTAAGTCCAAACTATTTGTTTTTCGTGACGTTTGAGTTTCTGGACATGATGCTCGGAGCTGGTCTCTACACAGCCGCATACATTCTAGGTAAACAATAGATATTTTTAGCCCTGCTCTGGGACTAAACTGCATTCTTTCTGGATAATTTAGGAATGGAACTGCTCGTGCCTGAGTATAGAGTAATGGGGAGCACGATCATGTCGAGCGCGTTCGCGCTGGGCGAAGCGTTGATCGGTGTGACGGCCTGGTTCGTACCCTGGAGGATATTTTTACGCATTCTATACATACCGGGTGTACTCTTTGTATCATGCTATTGGCTTACAGATGAGTCTGTCAGATGGATGATATCCAACGATCGCAACGAGGAGGCTGCCTGTGCGTTGAAGAAAATCGCCGCACAAAATGGCCGTCGATTAGATGAAGCTGTGGTCAAACGGTTGCATCTCGAAGGAATTGGTGGGCCGGAACACCATCATCATACGGATACATTTTTGGAAGCGCTGAGGTCACCTGCATTACTTATACGTCTTGCAAATTGTTCACTGGCGTGGATCAGCTGCACGTTTGTGTATTACGGGCTAACGATGCATTCAGTAGGCATTTCAGGAAATGTCTATGTCAACTTCATAGCTGTCTCTCTTATAGAGATCCCTGCGTATGTGCTAGCGAACGTGTTGCTGAATAAGTTAGGAAGGAGGGCTACGTTGGCGGCGTCGTTCATGACCAGTGGGTTGGCCTGTGTTGGGTTTGTCTTCATTCCAGAATGTATTACCTCTACTCCCTGAAACTCCCCAGAGAATTTCCCAACTGACATTTTATGATTTCAGCTGATGGCACTCTGAGGTTAATCGTGTTCCTATTGGGCAAGTTTTCAGCGACTGTTTCCTATGCTACCATTTACTTGTATACCACTGAGATGTTCCCGACCAGTTTGAGGCATACCTTCATGTCGACCTGTTCTATGTTCGGACGGATTGGTTCCATCATTGCTCCGCAAGTTCCTATATTGGTAATATATCAGGATATACAGGGGAAATAGAAAATTTATAAAAAAAATTAATTTCAGGCGCAGATATCTCAATCACTTCCTCTGTTCTTATTTGCATCAATGGCGGGGACTTCCGGGTTGCTTTCGCTGTTCTTCCCGGAAACTTTGAACGTAAAACTGCCGGATACAATCGTGGATGCTGTGAATATGGGACGACAGGAGAATAACAATAAAATGCTCAAAGCGTAACCAAAATTTAAAAAACCAGAGATTTTTTTCGCAATATTTGCGATGATTTTTACAAAACTAGTTTATATTACTTATAATTTAAAAAAGTTTTAACTAGTTTGTAGTGCAACGTGTATAATGCTCATATTATATGTTATCCGGATAAAGTAGTGGCATCTGCACTTCTTTTTGTATTTATTTGTTGATTATATTAAAGATTTATCAAAAATTAATCAGTTTTTATTACAAAATACCTTTAGCAGAAAAATCCAGTAGGGTTAAAGACAGGAAGACAGAAAGAATGTCGGTAAATAAGCAGCGTGCGCGCCGCAAAAGAGACTCGAGTAGCATGAGAATTTATAGGGTCGTAACTATAAGCAAAACACTATAACAGATTCGCCGGGCTCGTAATAAAAAAGCGCGAGCAAGATGAGCCGGAATAAGCATCACATACGCACACCTTCCCCCCAACGACATTCCAGAGCCCCCTGTGGTAACATCCAGGGTTATTTTAGGGTGTCTCCCGAAGGGCTCGTATAAGTCACGGATAGTTGTCACACGACAGCTTCACGCGTACACAGTTTATAAACTCAGTTCGTAAAAGCGGCAAACCGGAAATGGGTCGAAATCGACGAGATTTTAATGACGGCACTTTTCTTTCTAATAAAAATAAGCAACTCAATTTTTTTTACTATTTCACGTCATATACTGAAGATATAATTATAAAAAAATGTTTTTCAACTGAAAATATTTATATAGTAATGTATAAAATGAGATAAGTGGAGCGTTAAAAACATGCGCTTAATACCTGTTAACACTGGCGGGTTGGGTACAACACGTGCCCGAATATGACGACGTAATGGCCGCCGTAATACAGAGCGTGGCGTGCTGAATTTAAATTACGTCGTCATCGCGACACAATTCACGTCTGCGCTGCAATTTGCGATTGCGCACGTAGCACACGCGAATATTGCAAACAAACTCACACAAGTGGAACCCTATTCCCTTTTCCTCTCCCCGACCCACCCACTACAAATAATAAACAAAATATTTAATATAGTTAATATTAATTTCATACAACTCGACGAATTTCAAGTCAACAACCAAACTAGCAGTGGAAATTCTGAATTCACTTCGACTTCATATTAATTAACATCGTCAGATACGAGTATGCTGAACTAATAACCTAAAATATACATGTGAGGTTATGTATGTGGCGCACAAGTAGTCTAATTATTAATAATTGAGTTACGGCGAACTACTTACCGCTAGGAATGTATTAAACGATAAGTTTTTGATATTGGACGCGTTGAGGAATTGAGGTTTCTGTGACCGCATGATGACCATGAAGAGGTCCTTTTGAAAGGACACTTGGTATTCATACCATTTGATGGCGTAAGCTGTTTCTGCTACAGCAATACTCTGAAAAAGATCAAGGTATGTTTTAAGGGGTACCAGGTGAGGAAAGGTGACCTACCTCGTCCATTAATACTTGCCCTCCAAAGTTTACTAAGAGGAGCATGGCTATCCATCCGAGGAGATGTAGACCAAAACGGATACGATCAGTGAAACCTACTATTAACAGGACAAAACCAAGGAGACTGATGGCAAATGATGGTACCACTATGAACATGGTCATTTGGGTTCCGAAGGCTTCATTGACATCTTCACAAAGTCTACGGGATCAAATTTAGATAAATTTTTAAAAGAAGTTTAAAAGGGGTTAAGGTCTCACCTGATGATTGCACTGTGATAATGGATACTCCTATGTAAAAGTTTCTGATCCCCATTGTTGTCATCAATGCTCAACATGAGTTTCCTCAGTTCCCGATAATGGTAAACACATTGCATGACCACTGAACAGATCAACATGGTCAAGGTAACAAACAGACATGTCACACAGAATATCAAATAAATCTGATGGAAATAACTGACTGTCCAGATCACCTTCAAAACCTTCTCATTCATGTACATTGAAAAAGGTATGCGTACTCTACATGCCAACCCACATGGTATACTATATTTGATCATACTAGGAGTTAGGTTATTTCTACAGTCCCTTAAAGCTGATGGTAGGATAGGCATCAAGGAGTATGATATGGTACCAATTGTAGAATACATTAAGAGAAATTTGGTAAACCAAGTTGCTTTTCTGTCTACTTCTATGATTTCATCAATGGGTCTGAAGAACTTCATGCGTTCCACTGTTGCGAGGACTTTAACCATGAGATCTCCATTGGAGAGACAACAGACTCCTAGGTAGTGGTAACCAGCGTGACAACAGACTGCAAGAACAGGTTCCAGAAGTTCTATAGTTTTAGATTCATCTTCTAAAAATTATTAAAAGGGTTTTAAAATGATCTGGAATGGTATGGGGACTTACCTATTAGTAAAGCAATCACATCATACATCAAAGGCATAGTTGTGGGTAACAAGGACCAACAAAAGAAGAATCTTCTGAATCTTTTCCAAAATTTTCCAAAAATGCTTAGTTTTGAATCATCGGTATCTTCTTCAGGCCAGAGGAAGAAACCTTTAAGGATTCTTTTCTGAACCTTTGCAAATTCATATTCATCTACTTCTTCCATGTTTAAAACTTGACTAAAGAAACACTTTCATTTTAAAAGTATTTATAGACTTAGAAAACCCATCAAATTTAGATATCCTGTCATTATCTCTTCACAACCACACAAAAAGAATATTTCATCAAAAAATTTCTTTCTATCAAATAAATAATCATACATCTTGAAATTTAATACTGTTTTCATCCACTTGTCTTAACCATCTCTTCAAATCAATGTTTATCGTCTAATTCTAACTCTAGACTTATTATATTTGTCTTTATAAAGTCTGTAAGTCAAATAAAAGTTTTCTAAGAAGAGATTTTCCTAATATGACGTATATTAAGCGGTTTTTTCTCGTCTATTTGTTTTTGTTTAGGTGCGCACAGCACGAAATGAATATTTTAGTAGGTATCAACCGACCGAAGTGGAAATATTATGTAAACATGTCAGTTACGTCTGTCTTACTTGTACCATAGCACTGAGCTTCGCAGACGTAGCTACAAATGAAATATTCTCTTTCGCAATTGCAAAAGTCACTTTCAACCAAATGAATAAAATCAATTTTTGTTGAGTTAAATCCTATCAGTTACAGAAAATTATTCAACTCGCATATTGTGCTTGGCACCATCTGGGATTTATATTTTATAAACGTACATTCAATCAATTAATGAGCAAAATCCTGAAATTTCTAAATTATTACCATGGCAGGATGCATTTTATGTGAGCACGTCCATACTAATTAAAATCGTGCATACTGAGTCCAACTAGAGATAATCATTCGAGTTCCATGAAATTTTTTTTTCGGAAAATCAATGCGAAATGATCAAAAAACAGCAAAGCTTTGAGAAAAAAAAGTTGTCTGCTCCACGTAGCGGGTGCGTGTGTTTTGTACACGACGCTATAATGAATAACAATCCGCTCGTTCGTTTTGGAGTTTCGGTCAACCCAACACCACCCCCAAGCCACCCCCAGTGGCACTATGTGCTGTCGTGGCCTGTCCTGCTCTGTAGCCGAATATTGGATTTTCTGCAAAGGCATAAAGCCGCGACGCGTACAAAAATGTCCGCACAAAAGACACCACAAAGTCATTTATCAATGTTTTTAAATCGCGGATTATGCTTTCGTTCTGCGTGAAATTCTCATTTGTATAGATTTGGGCATTTGCTGCGCTTTTTTGCGTTTTGCAACTTGCAAAAACAACACGTCTGCAATTTTTTAACCCTTAAAAAAGCATGTGACGCTAAAAAATATGATTTAAGCTCCGCCCTTTAGACTTAAGTCGTGAGGGCGGAGCATACTGAGCTTTTTTTAACGTTTTTTAACGTTTTCTCAATAACCGAAGCGTATAACTGGTTATAATTGTGATGAATGTAATCATCATGCATGTGAAATCTACCAGCTCGTTGAAAAATCGTTAAAAACGTTTCCAATAGCTACGCGAACCCTTATGCTTACGATCAACTTTAAACACTTTATTTGTAGAGTTAGTGGAGTAGCGAGTTTAACGGAGTGAAAAATTTTAGTTTTTTGCCTGGCATTTTTTCAATTTTACAAATATTGTAAAACTGGTTTTAGCATAACATGTGAGATTAAATTCTCTTTTATATGATATATTTTCCAATATTGTGCAATTAATATTTTTGGAGATATTCTTATGTTTACTACCAACTTTAAACACTTTATTTGTAGAGTTAGTGGAGTAGTGAGTTTAGCGGAGTGAAAAATTTTAGTTTTTTGTTTGGAATTTCTACAATTTTGCAAATATTTTAAAACTGTTTTTATCAAATTATGTATAATTAAAATCTTTTTAAAATGATATATTCATCAGTTTTGTGCAATTAATATTTTCTGAGATATTCTAATATTTACTACCAGATTTTAACACTTTATTTACCGAGTTATTTGAGTAGTGAGTTTAGCGGAGTGAAAAATTTTAGTTTTTTGCTTGGCATTTTTTCAATTTTTCAAATATTTTAAAACTGTTTTTAACATAACATGCGAGATTAAATTCTCTTTCATATGATATATTTATCAATATTGTGCAATTAATATTTTCGGAAATATTTCTATGTTTACGACCAACTTTAAACACTTTATTTGTTGAGTTAGTTTTTAGCGACTCTAGAGGCGTGAAAAATTTTAGTTTTTTGCTTGGCATTTTTTCAATTTTTCAAATATTTTAAAACTGTTTTTAACATAACATGCGAGATTAAATTCTCTTTTATATGATATATTTATCAATATTGTGCAATTAATATTTTCGGAAATATTCCTATGTTTACTACCAACTTTAAACACTTCATTTGTAGAGTTAGTTTTTAGCGACTCTAGAGGCGTGAAAGTTTTTAGTTTTTTGCTTGGCATTTTTTCAATTTTTCAAATATTTTTAAAGTGTTTTTAGCATAACATGCGAGATTAAATTCTCTTTAATATGATATATTTTCCAATAATGTGCAATTAATATTTTTGGGGATATCCTTATGTTTACTACCAACTTTAAACACTTCATTTGTAGAGTTAGTTTTTAGCGACTCTAGCGGCGTGAAAAATTTTAGTTTTGGGCTTGGCATTTTTTCAAATTTTCAACTTTTTAACCCTTGAAAAAGCATGCGTCGCTAAAAAATATGATTTAAGCTCCGCCCATTATACTTAAGTCATGTGAGCGGAGCATACGGAGCTTTTTTTAACGTTTTTTAACGTTTTCTCAATAACCGAAGCGTATAACTGGTTATAATTGTGATGAATGTAATCATCATGCATGCGAAAATCTACCAGCTCGTTGAAAAATCGTTAAAAACGTTTCCAATAGCTACGCTAACCGAACCGCAGGTAACGAGCGCGACCTCACATCGGGCAACAACCAAAAATCGAAAAAAGCTCGCCGCATGTGTGTGTTCGCAGGCATGAAAACCCCACGCAATAAAGCGAAAACTCGCACTCATTGAGCTTTTTTTATTAACTGGTGTTTCCTCGCCGGTGGTAATTAGCTCGATTCAAAATCTCGTGATTGAATCCATGCGTGCCAGATGGCTTTCGTATAAATAGACGTTTAATGATGCGTTTTATTGGACCGCTCTCGACGCTCGACAGATCCCAGTCGCTGTTTTGTTCCATGTTTTACCCGCTTTAAAACGCATTTATAATAAATTAAAATAAAAAACAATTTTTCCCCAAAAAAAATTCTAATTATTTGGATGAGTTGGATGAGTACCAGGTAAAAATTGAGAGCTCCTGAAAGCTTCTTGGACGAGTTGACGTGAATTATTTTTAAAACCAGTGCGCTCATCAATCAAGCCCCGGCGACAATTAAAACCTCGCCGAGACATCGGATCAGAATGGCAAACATTTCGACATGAAAGAAGTCTAGTTGTCGTTTTGAATTACGCGGTTATTAATGATCGTGGATTATAGTCAAACAATTTAAAAATGACCAATCAAGAACACATTTTCCCGCGCTCGAGCTCGCCAGACGCGCCGGTAGACGTAAGACGCAAGAAAGGAAAACTAATTAAAGCGTTAAACGGCTGTTACTCATTTAATAACTCAATTAACGTATGATGCGCGCGCGGCACGTAATTAAACTGAAGGGTCATGACAGCGTGAAACGCAAGGGCATTAGACACGCAATCATACAACCGTACAAGCGAGTTGGGAACAAAGTACGCCCTACGTGTTTCATACACTTATATTACATATATGTAGCCTTAACTTTTACCCTTATGCTTACGACCAACTTTAAACACTTTATTTGTGGAGTTAGTGGAGTAGTGAGTTTAGCGATGTGAAAATTTTAGTTTTTTGCTTGGCATTTTTACAATTTTGCAAATATTTTAAAACTGTTTTTATCAAAATATGTGTAATTAAATTCTCTTTAAAATGATATATTCATCCATATTGTGCAATTAATATTTTCGGAGATATTCTAATATTTACTACCAGATTTTAACACTTTATTTGCAGAGTTATTTGAGTTTAGCGGAGTGAAAAATTTTAGTTTATTGCTTGGCATTTTTTCAATTTTACAAATATTTTAAAACTGTTTTTAGCATAGCATGCGAGATTAAATTCTCTATAATATGATATATTTTCCAACATTGTGCAATTAATATTTTTGGAGATATTCTTATATTTACTACCCACTTTAAACACTTTATTTGTAGAGTTAATTTTTAGCAACTCTAGCGACGTGAAAAATTTTAGTTTCTTGCTTGGCATTTCTATAATGTTGTAAATATTTTAATACTTATTTCACCAAAATATGCGTGATTAAATTCTGTTTAATATGATATACATATCAATATTGTGCAATTAATATTTTCGGAGATATTTGTATTCTTACAAAAGCTTTAAAAACTTTATTCGTTTTTGTTGCGAGTCTTGCAAAATGAAAAATTGTAGTTTTTATTTGGAATTTCAACAATTTTAAAAATATTGTAACTCACTTTTACTAGAAGATGCGTAAATAAATTCTTTTTAATTTGATATATCCATCAATATTGTGCTATAAATATTTACGCAGATATTCTTATGTTTACAACCAACCTTAAACACTTTATTTGGTGAGTTAATTTTTTAGCAATTTCAGCCGCGTGAAAAATTATTGTTTTTGCTTGGCATTTTATAATTTTGCAAATATTTTAAAACTGTTTTCAGCATAACATTCGTGATTAAATTCTCTTCAATATGATATATCTATTAATATTGTGCCAATAATATTTTTGGAGATATTTAATGTTTTGTTCGAAAATTTTACGCAAAAAAATGAATAAAATTAAAAATAACATAAAACTGATTTCCAATTTAATTTTTATTGTTTTTCCAATAATAATCAAAACAAAGTTATACCCTAATGTAAAATATCAATACACTCATCATAGGTAAGCATTATAACCGCATAAATCATTACAGCTTTTGAAGCCCAGTAATTTATTAGCAGAGAGTGGCATTAATTTAACTGCAATTTAATCAGTTCCAGCCGGGGCGGCGCGTATGCAACATTCATAATATAAACCATAA